GTGTCAGAGGCAATGAGATTGGCACAGGATTGAGCACGGTTTAGGGCTGTTGTACATAGGGTCGCTATGAGTCGCAAACGACTCGACGGCACATAACAACAACAGGTCCTGGCAAGATGATGAACTGGCATGGGGATGTATGTAACTACTAATCTGTGTTTAATTTACACTTGGCCTTTGGCTAGAATCTTTTTTGGGAATGAGTTGGTTTTGTTTTGCAAATAGAATTAGCATATTTTCAACCTCTTTGTTGTTGTTCTGTCCAACTGACTTAGAACCCACCCAAAGCTGTGTTCAGTAACAAGATCACACCACCTTGGAAATCCTACGGAGCAGTTCTACTCTGTTCTATAGGGTGAATACATGCCAAAATCGACTGCAAGGCACAAAATTAAACCAGCATAGACTGTTGCCCCCTTCTCTTAGATTAGTTGCTAATTTACTTTTCTTTCCTATTTTCGTGTGTGTGTGTTGCGAATTTTTATTATCAGTGACTTCTAGCATTCAGATTGCTGTCTGATTTTGTGGGCATAGATAGAAGAGCGGCTGGGCTGGAGGAAGCAAAGGATATGTGAAAAGCACAAGTATGAAGGCCAATTTGAAAGGAATGAATGATCAGACATTATGAGTAATGCAACTAACTGCTTGGAACAAGGCATGCTTTATGGACTGAAGGAGGAGCGAAGGGGGATTAAATATAAATAACTGAATAAAAGTCCAATTTCTTTGTAAATGTTCATTCAAATCACAATTAAAAATATATGTATATATGTTGCTGTGTACCATAGCTGACCCTCTGGCGGGTTTTCAGAGGCAGTTAGTAGCACAGGAGGAGATTGCCCATCCTTCTCTCATGGAGCAGCTGGTGGCAAAATTAACTTGTGATATAATAAGAAAAAAATCCAAACCAATCTCAGGTTCTAGAGGTCTCTAGACTGCAGGTCCTCACAAATATCATCCTTTTAATGCTTTCATTAATATCACATGCAAGCAAAATTCTGAGGAAAATGACAGGGACAGCACATTAATAGAGAACTACCAGATGTGCAAGCTGGGTTTAGTAGAGGCTGTGGTATTAGGGATATATTATAGCTAACGTTAGATGGATCTTGGTTGAAAGCAGAGAGTACCAGAGGAATGTCTTCTGTGTTTCATTGACTATATAAAGGCATTTGACTATGGATCACAACAAACTGTGGCTGACTCTGAGAAGAATGGGAATCCCAGAACATTTGATTTGAAGAGTGTTGAATATACCATGGACTGCCAGGAGAACCAACAAGTATGTCCTAGAGAGGGTGAAGCCAGGTTGCTCCTTGGAGGCAAGGATTTGGCAAGGATTCTGAAGCTTTGTCTGACATACTTTGGGCATGTTGCAAGGAGGATCCTGTCTTTGAAGAAGGACATCATGTTTGGAAGGTTGGAGGGACGGACAAAGAGAGGAATACAGTGACGGGGTAATGAAGGTAGGTGGACAGTAAAGTTGGCACAGAATAGAACAGGTTTCAAGGCTATTGTACATAGGGTCTCTATGAGTCTCAAGCAACTCGATGGTACATAACACAACAATGCTAACCCTAAAGTCACTCCGTATTTCAGTATCATGGGAAACTATTTTTTTAAGCAAAATTATTTTAAAGCCTTATTTCTTCATTGCCTGGAAACAGGCTCTTCTCGCATGAAGGGAATGTCTCCCCAGCTGGCAAATTGTTCCATTTTAGAGCAATCAGGTACTGTGTTGTCAGACAGTGTAAATAACCGACGCCCGCCCGGGCGCGGGTCCGGAGGAGGCAGCCAAAGCGCAAACATGGCCGGCAGGGGGCTCCCTGCCGACGCGGACGACACCTCCCTGCGCCAAGATCCCGCGGACTACACTTCCCAGCACCGCCGGGTACCCGTAGTCCACACCTACAAGCGACGGGCCGCCTCCGTGGACTACACTTCCCAGCGCAGGGACCCCACATACTACATCTACCAGCGCCGGAACCCCGCACCTCCCTGTGCCTGGCCACCTCCTTGGACTGCACATCCCAAAGGAACCGAGACGTTGCGGACATTTCCCTGCGCCAGGCAGCCTCCTTGGACTACAATTCCCAGAGGCACTAGGACGACATGGACTACATTTCCCAGCATCGCCGTGACCCCCGGGGACTACACTTCCCAGTGCCGGGCCGCCTCCGAGGACTACACTTCCTTGTGCAAGCCGCCTCCGAGGACTACATTTCCCAGAGGCGCCGGGACCCCGGGGACTACATTTCCCAGCTGCAGCTCGGCTACCTCTCACGCCCTCGCCTAGTGCCCCCGCCCGGCGTGCCCGGGATCCGCGCGGCGCGGGCATGCCCAGTGCGGGCACAGCTGCCCCGGCGTGGGAGCGCCGAGCCGAGAGGGCCCTTGGCGGGCGAGGGCCGGGGCCGCGGCGGCAGCGGAGCTGCCTGGTAAGCGCGGGCTCCGCCGAGCTAGTCTCGGGCCGCAGCGCAGCCAAGCCTGGGCGGCGGGGTCAGTGAGGACGGGCAGGGCGCAAGCGGGGGTTTGCGATTCCCGGGGCTGCGGGCTGGGGCCGCTGATGGGACCGGGCTCGAGGGGTCTGGAGGCAGGGCATCCAGGCTCGGGTGCAGTTGTGTCCTGCTCTCTATGATCGAGGCGTGCCCGGGCCACACCGACAGCGCGTGTATTACCATGGTAGGGGGATGGAGACATTCGCTTCTTCGAAATTGCCTGGGAGCCCTGGTCAGGGACCGCGTGTCCCACCCGACCTGTGTAGACTGCAGGCAGCCCCGGGAGCTCGGGCGAGGGAACAGGCTCACCTCTCCTCCCCTGAAGTGGGAAAGGGAGCAGCTTCCTACGGTCGAGCGTTAGTGATTTAGAAAGGAATGTGCAGAGGTGTGCCTTAGTAGAAGCTTTCTGGGTTCTTAGGACAGGGTCTTTAAATGACCAAGTGTGTCCCCACGTTCCAAGAGATTGTGTGTCCCTGGAATGCACAGGTTAAACAACATTTCAAAAGTTATTTCGGGTCCCAGGTCGGGACTAGAACACTGTAGGTCTGAAAATCGTTTTGATCTCGAGCTACCAATTTAATTTCTGGGACTCAGAATACAGAATTATGTGAACCAGCTGCATCTCTAGTTTACGTTGTTCCCAGTATCCTTCTTTCTTCAAATTGTCAGTTACTTTTCTGTATGCCTCAGGTTTTGGTCAAGTCATATTGTTAAGATGTTTCCTGTAGGAAACATCTCGCTGTAAAATTGAAGTGACCTGTCCATCAGAAAAAAACCTCTCTGGCCACAGGGCTTAGAGCTCAGCAGTCACTTCAGGAGAGAATGCTGCGGCAGCCGATTTCCAGGAAGCCTTAGAACTTGGAAATGCTGTGTGCAGGGGGTCACCGGGTTGGAATCCATCCTGTGGCAGGGCGTTTTCAGAGGCTGCTGTTGGTCACTACCCTGCCATTTGGTGTGGTGCCAAAACCAGCTGTTAATTGGCCAAGGTTCAGTTAACACAGTTGGTCTTCTGAACTGGGATAAACATATCTTAGGTTCCCTTAAACTCCCAAGCTGTCTCATTCTTTACTGGACGAGTGTATGTGAGTGTAGCATTTACATTTTTATTTTAATGTTTTTGCATTTTGTACTCAGACACGAGTATTACTATCCCTGATTTCTAGAGCTCTGATGCATAGTCCAGAGTTGTGCTACCGACCCAAAGGACACATTTCTCTGAAAGTTCAAGTCCACCTGGGTCTCCATGGGAGACAGGAGCGAGCTGGGCCTTCTTGCCACGTTTAAAGCATCCAGAGAACCCTTTGGGGTCAGCCAAGTCAGTTCCCACTGGTTGGCCAGGAAGAGGAGGAAAAGTCATTTATAAATGTATCAGTACCTGATTGAAAAGACTGATCCCCATAATATCGAAACCAAAACCCAAACCCGCTGCCTTAGATTCCATTTCCTTTCAGCACACCATAGGATGGATTAGACCTGCCTCGGGGGTCCCTCATAGTTCTTCCAGAAAAGCTAGTGAGTTTGAACTATTGACCTCCTCTGCAGTCGCTTTTTTCTCCTTGTGAAGTGAGGTGAGCCTGGGCGCCTTGCTTCCCTCTGAGCCCCTTGTGTATCTTAGCATTTAGTCACTCTCATCTGGGTACAGGGTCTGTATGGTATGGCTGCAGTCACGTGATGAAGGAGGTTTGGTTTTAAAAGGATTGAATGAAAGTGACAGAGAAAATTGGTTTTCTAGTTAAACCATCAGTACACATTTTACATTACAACAATATAAATACAGTGTAACTAACTACAGTCTTCTCATTTCTTTCCTGTGAGTGTCTTTATGTCCTACCCTTTCCTGCCTTCGGAGTTTTCTCCTTGGGCAGATGCTGCCCTTTCAGTCTTGTATGGTTGATTGTTCTAAGAGTGTCTCACCTTATAGGCCTATTTGGCTGAAAATTGAGCCACAGGTAGCTTAGTTCCAGGCTCAAAAGGTGCCAAAGGGCTATAAACTCGGTTCATTTTTTAGTAGTCTGAAAGCCTGGACCTTTATGGGTTTTGTTAGTTTGTTCGTTTGTTTCATATTTTTCTTCCTTAGAAGAATGAAAATATGAAAACAGCTCTTGCCCTAGAAACTTTTTTCCCTGTAGTGACAGTATCTGTGTGAGATTTGACCTGAGCAGATGGCCCAGGGTCTTGTGCAAGTGGCCTTCCTGCTGCCATATTCCCTGTTCTTCCAGTTCTGATGGCTTTGGTCCAGCTGGGTTAATGAAGTATTGTGAGGTGGTTGTAGGTCAGGGGCTGCAGATCGGTTCCTGTGGCCATACCTTGATGCTGGAGATGTGTACCACCTGCTTGTGAGAGTCTTTATCTTAAATTGAGAAACTCTTCCTTGGTTTAGTACTTTAGAATTTCAAGTTCTAAAGGTTTTCCAGTCACCATAAAATAAGAGTGTTACTCTTTCAATAAAAGTGTGTGTATAAAGTCATGTGTCAGTCAAAGATGGCTGTACCCAGGCCAGATAAGCAGAGGTTATCTCGTACTCACGGGGTGTTGAGGAAAACCAGTGGAAGCACCAGCTGTTGAGAGAAGGGGAATATAAGGCTCCAAGATGAAAAATCATGAACCAGATGATACGATCAAGGAAAACATAATACCTATTGAATTTATAACCAGAAAACTTAACCAACTAACAGAAGTAGAAAACAATCTACTGGAACATGGATCAACATATATTAGACTTAATGTTGCCCTCTGTGGCCTAATATCGAACAGTCTTTTCCCACATATCTTAAATGTGACACAGGCTCAGATAGCAGCTGGCTTACCAATGGCAGTTATTCCATTTATTATAGCGCATTTAGCTTACAAAGGTTTTGTAAGCTTACCATTGAATACAGGTTATCTGAGCTGTGAAACTTGTAACACGGGATGGACTGGTTGATCTTTTCGGAGGTCTTTACCTTGTCTTGGCTATACCTGTGAATGGTGGTCTAGCAGCCAGGTATATGTCAGCCTTGCTACAGAGAAAGGAAACAACTTTTTGGATAAAGATTTCTAAACCTGTCTTTAGAAAGATGCTTTCCCCCATTTTGCTTCAGACTGTGCTTGCAGGTTATCTTGAGTCTACGCAATATACGTTACTCATAAAAGCCCTTCATTTACCTGAACCTGACCTAGAAGCTTCCAAGATTTAGAATCTTAGAAGTATATATACAAAAATAAAATTATTTTTAAAAACTAAAAAAAGTGTGTGTGTACTTGAACTCTTATTTTTTACTTATTCTTTTCATCTAAGGAATAAAATGGGAAAATATCTTAAAGAATTATTTATTCTCATGAGCTCTTTTTGGTCTACTCTAAAATCTACTGTTCCTTCTTATTAAGAACTTTTACCTTGCCCTTTTTTGTTGATGTATTTAGACAGCAAAATGAACGATTTCTCCCTGCACAATTAAGCGACATTGCTTACATCTTGAAGTTGAACAAGCCTTCTGAGCCCCCCTTTATGAGTTCTTCCTCCCTCACTAGAGTTCCTTTTTAATCTTTTGAGTTAACTGTTGTCAGTTGGAACCCATAGAGTTCTTAAAAATGGCTAATGCTCAAGGCAGATTTAATGGTTAAGCCAGACTCTTCTGTTTTAAAGAGATGTCAGGGGATATTTTCAAGTACCAAGAGTTTATAGGAATAGAAATCAAAGCTCAGGAAATAATTGGTTCAGTAACATTTTCTCTGTAAAACAATGAAAGAATGATTAAGAGAAAAATTACTTAATGATTTCAGTTATCAGAAACTACAGGTAAACTCAGTTCAGGTCACCCTGTTAGTATCTTCTGAAATGCCAAAATCAATACCACTTCTTTCAGAATTACAGGAATGTAGAAAATGTATGTCTTACTGTAGAAATGTGTATATAGTTGCACACCTTAACCCTTTTTCCTTACGATGTTCCTCTGTTTCCAGGCCCTTCATGATGAGAGGTTCTGAGGTGCTTCTCTCTTTTTCTGTGTAGTTGGTATATTGGAAGGTGAAGAGATGGCTGACAGTGTCAAAACCTTCCTCCAGGACCTGGCCAGGGTAAGTGCGGCTTTTTCCCCCCGGGAAACTGTAGTCACCATTAGAATGTATATGTTGGATCCTTCACATACAAGTCTTTGTTCTAATTATCATGCATTTTGCAGAATCTTGAGATAAAGACCCTGGTTTTCTGGCCCCGGTGCCTTCCTCCTTCCAGTCTACAATGTGTGATAAGGATGCCCTTGGAAAATGCCCCGTGAACAACTGTCTTGGGGTTGCTTGCCCAAGTTAGCAGTAGCCCCAGTTGCCTTGCACTGAGTGGATGGATGTTTGAGCTCTCTCTTGCTAGCTGTGACCCCTCTTCTCAGTACCTTGTCTCTATATCTGGGTTGGGAGGGTGTTCTTTAGTATGAATGTCACCCTTGAGTATCTGGGAAGATCCTTTTTTGCAATATAATCTATTTTAATATCCTTAAGATTGTCTTATCTCTGTTTCATTGATTACGCAAAAGCGTTTGACTGTGTGGATCATAACCAAACTGTGGCTGACTCTGAGAAGAATGGGAATCCCAGAACACTTGATTGTGCTAATGCGAAACCTATACTTGGACCAGGAGGCAGTTGTCAGAACAGAGCAAGGAGACACTGCCTGGTTCAAAACTGGGAAGGGTGTATGCCAGGGATGTTTCGTATTTCCATACTTTTTCAATCTATATGCAAAACAGATTATCCAGGAGGCTGGGCTCTCTGAGGAAAAATGTGGCATCAGGATTGGAGGAAGAATCATCAACAATCTGCGTTATGCAGATGACACAACCCTGCTTGCTGAAACTGAGGAGGGCCTAAAGCACTTGGCTGTGGAAGGTCAGGGTGAGGCTCAGTATAAAGAAGATTCTCACCACTGGGCCGATTAGCAGCATCATAATGGATGGTGAAGAGATTGAGATTGTTCACAGTTTTGGTTTGCTTGGCTCCACAGTCAACACTCTTGGCACCAGCAGCCAGGAAATTAAAAGAGGTATTGCGATGGGAAAGTCTGTGGTTAGAGACCTCTATAAAGTGCTGAAGTGCAAAGAGCAGTGTGGAAGGTGTGCCTGATACATGCCATGGTCTTTTGTAATTACTTGCTATGCATCAGAGAGCTGGACAGTGACTAGGGAGCATAGAAGGAGAATTGATGCCTTTGAGTTATGGTATTGGAGAAGAGTATTGAATATACCATGGACTGCTAGGAAAACGAACAGGTTTGTCCTGGAGAGGATGAAGCTGGGCTGCTCCTTGGAGGCAAGGATTCTGAAGCTTCATCTGACATACTTTGTGCAGGGAGGGATCAGTCCTTGGAGAGGACGTCATGCTTGGGAGGGTTGAGGGACCGTGCAGGAGAGGAAGACCCTCGATGAGATGGATTGATTCAGTGACTGTGGTAATGGGGGTAGATGTGTTGGAGATGGTGAGATTGGCACAGGATAGGGTAGAGTTTAGGGCTATTGTGTACATAGGGTCTCTGTGAGTAGCAGGCAACTCAATGGCACATAACAACAACAAAGTAATACCCTTGTCTTGCAGTTGTGTGATAATTTTCACCTGTTCTGCAATATGTGATTACATTTGTCAGCTCTGCTAAACTATCTAAAAGTAAGGATCATGTCACCTCAGTACTTAAGTACTTGCATTTTCTGAGTAAGAAAGTCATTTTTTTGACATTTAGAAGTTAAAAGCAAAATGGGATTACAAATTACCTGTAGAGAAGGATTAGGCAGAATTATGCCAGCTCTACTTCCTCCAGCAGATAGTGAGTGCACAATCTCTGACCTCTCTCTGCACCATGGCTGTTATCTTTAAAATTTGTTTTGGCTCAGTAATAGGTAAGAATGCCATCCAGCACAGTTCCTATCTCCAAAATAACCTATTTCTGCCTTTTTTTCTTTGAACATAAATCTGTTCTATTCGGAGCCTCTGTCATAGAGTCAATTCCAGCAGAGTAGAAGTGCTTAATGGGTTTCCATAGTTGTCAGTCTTTCCAGCCCACTGCCTCAGGTCTTTCCCATGGAATGGCTGGTGAGTTCAAACTTCTGGCTTTGGTTAGGAGCTGGAAACTTGTACCGCTGCGTCACCAGGGCTCCTGAAGTTGGCTGTAGCACTTGCTTAACTGTGGTGTAGTTAGAGGAGAGGATTGTTGCTTTTGTACTTCTCCTCTTAAGCTAGTTGCAAGTTTTTGAGTATTTCAGTATGACCGAAGTCTGCTCATAGATGACACTCTCAGTATGTAGGTAGGTGGGTATGTGAGCAGACAGAGTGACTGGCCAAATGCGGTTCTCTGAAATGGGTGGCAGGCAGTTCTGATATTTGTAGCATCAACAGAAACCTTTATGTAGTATGGCTGGTAAGTGCCTCTGTCACTGTCTTTACAGTCTCAACAACACTTTTTCTCCTTAATTATGGGCTTAATTAGGGAAGAAGCCACAGGTCACACTTTAGAGCAAAGGCACTCAGGATATAATTCTTCAGGCAGGACCTTCAGCCTTACTGGATGCTGCCTCATTGGGCACTGCCCCGTTGCTCTGGGCCAATGTTAAAAATCTCTTTTCATTCTGCCACTTAACGCTTCCTGCCCTCCCATCTGCCACCATTCCCTTCCCCTCATTCCTACATATTCCTACATACGTGCTTGCATATACTTTCCTCCAGTAAGTGTGGTGAATACCCTTAGTTTTGGCTTTGTGGGGCAGCAGCTCTAGTCCAGCTGCCCACATCAGTCTCTAGCTTTCCACCACCTGTGCTCGCTGACTCTCTATGGATACTTCAAGACACACGTCCATGTTGCTTCTGCCTCACATAAGGTGCCCTTACTGTAGAACTTTTCCTGTTTTAACAGAAAATATTTTTCATTCCCCACCCGCCCCCAGTGTAGGTGAATGTTTATGGCACCAATTACGTTTCCCATCCAGCAGTTTATTCGTGTTTTGTTTCATGATGTTATTTGTCCTCAGTGGAACAGTGTCCTCATATATATCCTCCCTGATCCCCTCTTACCGTCTTCTCCAGCTCCTTCCTGCTGTCTGAGCTTTGTTTTGGGACAGATGCGACCCTTTTGTCTTGTATGGTTTATCATTCACTTTGTGGGCCTGACTTTTGTTTGTCTGAATGGTAACCCTCAAGGGTGAGTACACTTCCAGGTTGAAAGGGCCACACTCACAGGAGGTCCACCTCTTTCTATCCAGACTAGAAGGTCTAGTCGTTGTTAAACTTTTGAGTTTTTCTCTCACTCTGCCTGGAATGTTCTATGGTCCTAATCGAGCAGGTGGTAGTGATTACTGGGCACCATCTGGTTCTTCTGGTGTCTGGAAATAATTATTTTTCCTGTCCTTTCTGGTTCTGGACCTTTCCATTCCAGCCATGGCTCTTTCCAGAGGATTCCAAGAGGCCCTTTCTCTATCATTGTATGTATGCTTGTGGTTTTTGTTAGATGTTGTAAGAATACTGTCTTACCCTGTGCCATCCTTCACAGTCTCTGACACACTCAAGCCCATTGCCATAGTCACTGTGTTAACCCACCTGGTTGGAGTCTTCCTTTCTTTTACTGCCCCTCCACCTTTCCAAGCATGCTATCCCTCTCCAAGGAATAGCCCCTCCTAGCAACATGCCCAAAGTATGTGAGACAAAGCTTCACCATCTTGGCATCCAAGAGTATTCTGACTATCCCCTCTCCAAGACATCTCTCTTTGTTCTTTTGGAAGTCTATGGAATATTCACTTCTCTTCTCTTCTCTTCTCTAACACCCCAGTTGAAATGCATCTGTTTTGTCATTATCGTCCAGCTCTCAGATGCATAGCAAATTACTAAAAAGACCATGAGGCTCACCTTTGTCCTTAAACTGACATCATTACTCAATAATTTGGAGAGGTCCCTGCCTACATAACTTTCCCAGGACAATATGTCTCCTGATCTGACTACTGGTACCAAATATATTGATTGTGGATCCAAGTAAGAGGGAGTCATTGCCAGGTAATTGAAGACTGCAGAGCCCATAAATGCTCTGATGAGTCAGTTCTGATTCATAAATGACTCTCCCTTGTGTTTCTGAGCCTGTAAATTTTAATGGGAGGAGATTGTCTAAGGAACAGCTTGTAGATTTGAACCAGCAGAAATGCAGCCCTTTTGTCAGCAGTGTGCCACTCTACTATCTAGGCTACTGGAGACATCTATAGAGCATATAGGAGACATTTAATTAGTAAGTGTAAAGGAATAGGACAAACTTGTTTCTTCTCTTAGCAGTCCATGGTATATTTAATACTCTTCTCCAGCACCACAGCTCAAAGGCATCAATTCTCTTCCTATCACCCCTAGTCATTGTCCAGCTTTCCAATGCATAGCAAGTGATTGCAAAGACCATGGCCTAGATCAGGTGCGCTTTAGACTCCAGACTGACATTGCTGCTCTTCAGTACTTTGAAGATGTCTCTGATAGCAGACTTGCCCAATGCAATTTGTCTTTTAAGTTCGTCCTGAAGAGGGTGAAGCCAGGCTTCTCCTTGGAGGCAGATTATGAAGCTTCGTCTGACATACTTTGGACATGTGGCAAGGAGGGACCAGTCCTTGGAAAAGGACGTCATGCTTGGGAGGGTGGAGTGACAGTGTAGGAGAGGATGACCCTCCATGAGATGGATTGATTCAGTGACTGGGGTAATGGGGGTAAGTGTGTCAGAGACAATAAGACTGGCACAGGATAGAGCAGGGTTTAGGGCTGTTTTGCATAGGGTCGTGATGAGTCGCAGGTGACTTGATGGCACATAACAACAACAAAGAAATAGGGAAACAACTACTCTGCAACCATGTTATTCAGAATTATTTTGGGAAGGAATTGCGAATGGTTGGTCATTCTGGAGGGAGAGGTATTTGAAGAGTGGAATGGTTATATGACCTCAGGAGAGAGTCTCCAGAGATGGCTTTGTTAGTTTGCAGCCCTATGGTGGTGGTGGTGCTAATTGTTGTTATATGCTATCTAGTCGCCTGAACGCTATGTACAACATCTCTGAAGCCTGCCTTGTCCTGAGCCATTCTCACTGATTCTGACATATTCTTCATTGGCCCAGTTATTGTATCAGTCCCTCTCATCCAAGCTCTTCGTCTTCTGCCTTCCCCTCCACCCTTCCAAGCACGATGTCCTTCTCTAAGGATTGGTCCTTCCTGGGCACATGCCCAAAGTATGGAGCTGCAAAATCCTAGTCTCCAAGGAGAAACTTAGTTTCAGTCTCTTCAAGACAGACTTACTTGTTTTCTTGGTGGTCCATAGTATATTCAAGAATCTTCTCCAGTACCAAAACTCAAAGGCAGCAGTTCTTCTGTCATCCTTAGTCATTGATTGTCCAGCTCTCTGATGCATATAGCACATGATTGCCAAGACCATGGCCTGGATCAGGCACACCTTAATCTCTAGACTGGCATCATTGCTTTTCAATACTTTGGAGAGGTCCCTCACAGCATATTTTCTCAACGCAATTCGTCTTTTGATTTTCTGACTGTTGGTGCCAAGATTGTTGATTGTGGAGCTGAGCAAGTTGTAATTGTTACCAGCCTCAATCTTCTCCATCTGTCATGGTGCTGCCAGTTGACTGTGGTGGTGAAGCTGAATATAAAATTAAGACCACTTTGAAGGGCAGACAGACATTATGTGTCTCTGAATGTGATTCTTTGAAGGATTCAGTCCTGCTTTGGTGGTGGTGGTGGTGGTGGTGGTGGTGGTTATGTGCCATTAAGTCTAATACAACTCATAGCAACCTTCTAAACAGCAGATCTGAACCGTCTCTTATCATGCCATCTTCATCATCTCTGACATACTTGACCTCATTGCTGCAGTCACTGTGTCAGTTCATCTCATTGAATGTCTTCCTCTCCTTTCCTGACCCTCTACCTTTTCAAGCTTGATAACCCTTTTCAGGGATGACACCTAGTAATATGCTCAAAATATATGAGATGAAGCTTTACGACCCTTGCGTCCAAGAAGCACTGTGGTTGCACTTTCTCTAAAACAAATCTATTTGTTCTTTTGACTGTTCATGGGATATTCAGTGGTCTTCTCCAGTACCACAACTCAAAGGCATCAGTTTTTCTTCCAGCATCCTTATTCCTTGTCCAGCTCTCACATGTGTACCAAGTGCCTTAGTCTTTAAACTGATACCGTTTCTACTTAATATTTTGGAGAAGTCTTTGACAACAGACTTTGCAAATACAATACATCTTTTGATTTCTTGACCATGAGTTGATTGTGAATCCAGGTAAGATGAAATCATGACAACTTCAATCATTTCTCCATCTGTCATGATTCTGCCTATTGGTCCAGAGGTGAGGATTTTTGTTTTCTTGATGTTAAGATGTAACCCATATTGAAAACAGTAGTCTGATTTTCTGCAGCAAACACTTCTGTTGTTTTGTTATTATGTGTAGTCGAGTTGCCTCTGACTCATAGTGACCCTGTGTACAGTAGCAATGAAGCCTGCCTTGTCTTGAGCCACTTAACCTATTGGCCCAGTTACTATATCAGTCCATCTCATCTGGGTTCTTCCTCTCCTGTGTTGTCCCTCCACCCTTCCAAGCATGATGATCTTCTCCATATGCCCAAATGTTTAACCTGGGTCTAATCATGAGGAAAATTAAATTTAGTTAATTCTTTAACATTACTGGCTTATATTCTACAGAAAAAAAAGTCTGTGGCAGTTCCTGATTAAAGACAAACAGACAAATGCAATATGATTCTGAACTGATACACTGAAGGCTTAGAAATGGTAGAGCTCATTGTTGGAACAATTGGAGAAATTGGAACCTGTACTGTTGTTGAACTATCAAGGCATTATGGTTCATAGTGGTCCCTTGAGACATAGTAGAAGTGCCCTGTAGGGTTGGTGTGTGTGTGTTTTAAAATTTAGTATTGCCAAAAAGAAAAACTTGGAAGAACGCTAGAAGTCCTAATCCACAACATAAACAGTCTTCCAAGTATCCTGAAAAACCTACAACCAGGAGAAGATAAAATAGATGAATGGGACCTTCTAAGAATCAAATCCCTATGCACATCCAGAAGCTTCTCCAACAGGGTAAAAAGGGAAGCCACAAACTGGGAAAAAGTATTTGGGAATGACATGTCAGATATGGGACTTATATCTAGAATTTATAAAATACTTGGGCACCACAACAAGATAAAGGTAAATAATCCAATTGAAAAATGGGCACAGAATATGAACAGATACTTCACCAAAGAAGACATTCAGATAGCTAACAAGCACATGAAGAAATGTTCAAAATCCCTAGCTCTAAGAGAGATGCAAATCAAAACAACTATGAGATATCATCTCACCCCAGTCAGAATAGTAAAATTAAACAGAACAGCAAGCAATAAATGCTGGCGAGGTTGTGGAGAGACTGGAACCCTTATTCACTGTTGGTGGGAGTGTAAAATGGTGCAACTACTGTGGAACGCATTATGGCGCTTTCTCAAAAAGTTGCAAATAGAGATACCATTTGACCCAGCAATTCCACTACTGGGAATATACCCCAAAGAGACCATAACTGACACCCAAGCAGATATATACACATCCATATTTATCGCAGCTTTGTTCACAATAGCAAGGAGTTGGAAACAACCTAAGTGCCTCAACAAACGAATGGCTAGAGAAGCTGTGGTATATTCACACAATGGTACGCTGCATTGAAAAACAAGGAACTCATGCAATATTAGTCAAAATGGGTGACCCTGGAGGACATTATGCTGAGTGAAGTATCTCAGTCACAAAAGGACAAATACTGCATGGTGCCATTGTTGTAAAACAGGACTGGCCTCGGGGTTGGGGGGAGACTGAGAAAGGTGGGTTCAATAATGTATACTGCATTGAAACAGGTAAGGGAGAAAACTGTTTAAAAGGGATATGTAATTAGATATTTTTGTCATGACAGGAGTCCAGAGCAAAGGCTGCATAGTGGAGTGGGCCGTGGGGGAGGGATTGTAAAACAGTGAAAGAATTTTACTTTTCCAAGAAGGTAGTATACTGGAGGGGAGGGTTGGGAGGGGAGAGAAGTGCAACAATGAATGAATGGAAATCCAAAGTCTTTGTAAATTTTCATTGAAATTAATAATAAAGTTAAAAAATGCATAAGGAAATAATTAAATTAGTATTTCCATATTAAATTTTGTGCATTGATAATTATACTATGACTATATAAAAGAATATTTGTTTTTTTTTGAAGAAATAGACACTGAAGAGTTCAAAGTAAATGAATATGATCTATCAACCAACTTCCAAATGATTCAGGAAGAAATATGTGCACTATATTTTTACATTTACATATTTACAAGAATCATAGTAAATATGGCAAAATTAAATTACACTAGTGGCTTTGGGTAAGGGTGTTGCAACTCTTCTGTAGGTAAGAAGTTATTTCAGAATATAAAAAACCTAGCTCAGCAAAACAATCAGGGTTCCTTCTACGTTGGTGTAAACAATCAGGGTCCCTTCTGCCTTGGTGATTTCTTCTCTTCTTTCACTTGGATAGCTTTGGAAATTCTTCACTGATGTGTAATGTTCTCTGTAGGGCATCAAAGACTCCATCTGGGGTATCTGTACCATCTCAAAGCTGGATGCTCGAATACAGCAGAAGAGGGAAGAGCAGCGACGGAGACGGGCCAGCAGCGTCCTTGCGCAGAGGAGAACACAGAGTGTAGAGCGGAAGCAGGAGAGGTGAGGAGGATAGACTGGTATTGGGAAGTGTCCGAAGGAGACATGTCAGCAAGTAGTCCAGTTCTTCTCACAGAATCCCAACCTTATGTAATGACCTGAGTTTCATACAACAAAAGAATTGTCAATATCCCTTTTGCTCTCAAGCTTATCTGACTCCCAGTGACCCTACAAGACACAGTAGATCTGTCTCATATAGTTTCCAAGATAGTGATCTTTAGAGAAGCCCCTGGTGGATTTGAACCGCTGGCTTTTTTCGCATTAACAGCCAAGCACTTATACCCCTGTGCCACCAGGACTTAGAGCATTCCTACCCCTTTATTCGGTTTTTATAATAATTCAGTGGTTAAAATACTTAGCTGCTAACCAAGAACTCAGTAGCTTGCACCCATCAAGCCGCTCCATGGTAAAACAGGCTGCAGTCTGGGTCCTTACAGAGGGCCAGCATTGGAAACCCCAAGGGAGTTTTACCCTGTCCTGTAGGACTGCTGAAAGAACAGAGAGATAACAGAAAGTGCAGCTGGCGTGCTCCATAAAGGCAAGGACGGCAAAGCTGGTTCTCACTTGGTCATACTTTAGTCATAATTTACGAGAGGCTGTTCTTTGAAGCAGGACATCATGTGGGAAGGTGGGAGTCATCATGCACTTAAAGAAAGGAAGAACTCAACAGGATAGATCAACACAGTAACTGCAGCAGTGGACTCAAGGATGTTAGAGATGGTGAGGCTAGGTCAGGGTTCAGACCTGTTGTTCATAGGTTTGCTATGAGTCATACCTAATTTGACAGCACATAAACATAGAATTGCTGTAGGTTAATATAATTATGACTCAAATAGATGTACCAACATTGTTAAAAAACTTCTCTAGTATGATCTGAAGAAAGCCCACTGACTGTGAAAAAAATATTTGGCAATGGCATATATGACCAGGAACTTTTAACTAAAATTTATCAAATACTCTTAATACCTCAACAACAAAAAACCCAAAACAACCCAGTTACAAAAAGGGCAGAAGCTAATATGTAAAGACTTCATCAGAGGGGATATTCATATGGCCGACATACGAAGAAATCCTCAAGATACCATGTTGTTGTTACTGTGTTTTGAGTTGAATACAATTCTCAGGGACCCTATGAACAACAGATCTGACCCTGTCCTATCCTGTACCATCCTCATCATCTCTGACATACTTGAGCCCACTGTGACAGTCACTGTGTCAATCCATCTCATTGAGGGTCTTCCTCTCTTTCACTGACCACCTACCTTTTCAAGGAATTGCACCTTCTAACAGCATGCCCAAGGTGTGTGACACGAAGCTTCACCGTCCTTGCCTCTAAGAAGCACTTAGGCTATACCTTCCCTAAGACCTCTTTGTTCTTTTGGCATTTCATGGGATATTTAGTACTCTTCTCCAAAAACACAATTCAAAGGCATTGATTGGAAAAACCATGCATGGCCTGGATCAGGTGTACCTTAGTCTTAACATGGACATCATTGCTCTTTGGTGCTTTAGTGAGATACAGATCAAAACATTGAGGTATGATCTCACCCCAGCAACAATAGGAAAGTTCCACAGCATAGCAGACATCCTATGTTGACCAATATACAGAGACATTGAAACTCTTTTGCATTGCTAGTCAGAATATAAAGCGTTATGATCAATATGAAAGGCAGTTTGGCATTTCCTCAAAAAGTAAAAAATATTCCACTACTGAGAATATAGCTTCAAGAAATCAGAGCTGCGATATGAATAAATGTATGACTACCTTTGTTTATTGCAGCATTATTCACAGTGGAAAAGAGATGCAGCCTGAATGTCCATTGTTCAGCGAATAAACTGATATAGTCACATAATGGAATATTACACAGGATTGAAAAACACCTGAGAACTTGTGAAACACTACAGAGCATATGCAAGTCTAGAGGACATTATGCTGAGTTAAATAACTCAGTCACAAAAGGACAAATACTATGTTAGACCGCTATTAAAAAATAGGATGATTACAGGAGGAGGCGTGAAAGGGCAGGAAATAGAATGGGTAGACATGAGCCCCCTAATGGAATGGAATGGAGGAAAGGAAGTGCAACCTGGAATGAACTGACAGTTGGACAAACATGGGTATTGCAGTTGACAATATGGAACTGATCAGATGTAGGGAGAGGAAGGGGAAAAATAAAGAAAAGTTTATACATGGAAACAAAGTTGAGGATGATTGACAGGAGGGATAGGATGGGAGGGAAAGAGCCAGAGCCGAGATTAGTGAATGGATGGATAAGGTGAAAAGAAAGGGAGGCTACAGTAAGCTTTAGAAGGGATCTTGTAAATAACGACATTGTACACTTGTAATTAATACTATAAAATGAATTGTAGGGAGCTCTGGTGGCCTAGTGGCAAAGAGCTGCAACTGCAATCCCAGAGGCGCACGGTTCGAATCC